GTTGTCACGGAAGTGTGTGTGATCTCCCATGTGTCATGATGTCATACAAATGACAAAAATTGTCAATTGTGTCATGTGACTGATGCAAACCACATAATTGGGGTAATTTGCACAATGTCATGACATGTATGACATCATTATGGCTATTGTGATGTGATCCATAATAGCTACAATACAGATCTGCTATATTCTATAACAGTGCTATGCTACTCATAAATTACTAGTAAATTTGCGCACAAATTTAGGCATGTAAATACTTGATGGCATAGCTTGCCCTTTAGCAAATGTGTTTTCTTAAACTGGTATGAATTGGTGAAAGAGATGTTATACAGGAAGCCATTGGAGAGGGAAAAATTCAGTCTTTCTTTTCTGTGTTTGGTGATCCCAATCAATAGTACCAAGGGTATTGTAAATGACATTTTCCTCTTCAAAATCAATTATAGACTGTCATCCTGCGTGCAAAAGTATATGCATAAAAAAAAGAGGCACAAGTGCAGAGTAAGCTGTTTCACAAAGAAATTCCTTATTTGGCACTAATTTTGTGTGTAATCACTGGTTTAAGTTATTACTATTTAGGGAGGAAGTGTGTAATTTCAGGTTCCTGATTCTGTGAACGCTTATTCAGACAGTGTACTTTCAAGATTTCCATGTCAGAGGTCAGCACTGGAAAGAGATCACTCTCTTTTATTCACAATGAAGAAACAACATGAATAGTAAAATCAGAATATACATAATGTTTATTGAATAGCATGCAACTGACTAAGAATCAGACAATTCTGGAGACAAAGGATTAGGAGACTGATTAAAATAAGCCTTGCTTGGGCCCTATTTTTCATAACAGGTGCTGTATAACAGTGATAAATTGCTAAACTATTATAGCTTTAGAAATCTGAAAGTTGTATTACATTTTTTTTAAAAAATTCAAAAAAACAACCAAATATCTGTTCTACTATATCCTTCAGTATCCGTCTTCTTACCAACCACACTTCGGCAGTATTTGGTACCAGAAGAGAAAAAGTAATAAAAATCATATTGTTCTTCAAACTTACTCATACACACCTCTAACAGCATTCTTTCGTGATGTGCTTGAACTTGTGCCAAGCTTTCCTGAGCTATTTTCAACTGCATCTCCATCTTTTTAAAGTTTCTGAAGTCTTTCTCTCTCTCTCTTTGCATCCGACTCAAAGTATCATGCAGTTTTTGTTTCATACTGGATGAGTTGCGAAAACTCATTTCTAACATGCCCCTACACAAGGGTAGAAAAGAGCATTGTTAAAACAAAAACAAGAAACCCAAAAATTAGGCTCTCAGTTCCAGACCAGGGATAATTATAGATAAGGCTTTATTTGGGTTGTTTTCAATAATGTGATTTGTTCTGTTATTTTGTTGTATCAGTATCTCAGTTCCTTCTCATCCATCCAATTATTTTGAGACATAGAACAGAATATAAATCACAGAAATTAAGTATAGTCCAAAATTTGGGATTTAAAAAAGCATTGCTAAGAGAGCAATGAAGATCTGAAAGTTTCAATAAAAGATTGGTCCTCATCTTCTGTTCCAGAAAGGTAGTGGTACCCTAATGATGGTACCAATGACACCAAACTATGTTTAATGACATTTTCACAGCGACAGCAGTGTCTTCTGAACTATTTCACAGGGGCTGTTAAGTTTCCTTAGGAGCCTACCAGGAAGAATTTCCACAGGTAAACTATCTAAAAGGAGATTTGCATTTTCCCTTGTCAATTTTCCTCTGTAATGGGCATCTAAAGAGACATCCTGCATGCATTCTAACACACATTCTCGGTTTTAGATTATTAAGACCTCCAGAGCCTAATTACTGCTGATGCACTAGTGAAAGGAATTCTCTGAAGAAATGAAGTCTGAAAAAAAAATGCCATGCCCACTTCAACAGATACAGGGAGCGATCCAGTAAATTGGTGGATTCATCCCATAACCTACCAACGCATTAGGCTATGTCGCTCATTCAACCAAATTCCTGTCCCAAATGAAGAGGACCTGAGGAGCTTTTACAAAACTCCAGTGTTCCCTAGAAGACTGCATTGGTGTCCTACTTATTCCTAGGCCTAATTCAAACTGCTGGTTACTCTTTGAAACTCTGTACAGTTTAGGGCTGGATTGTCTGAAACAACATGTTCTCTATTGCCTACTCTGATCTTAGTCAGCATTAAGATTGCCCACAGGGGCTCTCCTGGTCATTTCAAACATATATTTATTTCTTCGTAAAAAGAAAATCATATTTTCCTGTTGCTTCACTCTGAATTTGTAATCCCTGGCCTACTGACTGGGTTAGAAAGGGCCCTCCCTCAATTTGTAGAGATCTTCTCTTCCCTCGGTCAGCCTTAATGCAGCAACAAAATCTTTCTTTCAGTTCAGGAATGCTTTTGGCCTTTTTGCTCAGACTTACTGTACTGGGGATAGAATCAGTAATACAGGCTTTGATTGTGCTACTATCTGAAACTGGGTAGGAGCTGAGTTAGGGCTTCTTTTCCACTTATAGCGCCTACAGTGTGGGATCTCCTATGGAATTTCGAATGGTCAGCCTTTCCAGAAGGAGCTAACTTATTGTTGGCACACGTACATTTTCTTTTAGCTATCTTAAAAATCCCTCTTGGGACTGATTTTATGTGGTGATTATTGTTAAAGTTACCTTGTAAGCTACCTCAAGGGGTTTACAAACAACGGAAAGAAATAAATGTTCAGGAACAGAAATAAACATATAATGGCCTACAAATATAAATCTAACCTTTCTGCAATGGCAGCTCCTTCATTCTCTTTATTCATCTCGTGCATCTTCGTCAGAGTGATGAATTCTCGCTCTTTGCTCTCCAGTAAAGTTTTCTTCCCTTCTACCTCTTTGATTGCATCTTCTTTCTCTTCCATGGTCTCCTCACATATAGCCTCCATTTTTTTTACAGTCTCCACAACTTCTTGCACTTGTTCCTGAAGCGAGTGTTTTTTTTTCTCTATATCTCTGTAAGCAATGGCAGATGCTGACTTTAGTAAGAATAGATGTCTTTGTCTGCTTTTGGTATATTATTATGGCTTTTATTATTTCATTATTATTAGTCCACTAACACCTACAAATAACCAGGCTCAAGTTATCCTACTTTAGACATATAATGCCTAAACCTAACTCTCTGGAGAAGTCTAAAATGCTGGGGGGGTGCGGGGGGGGGGCAGGAATGGAAGGAAAGAGAGGAAGAGGACAACCAGTGGCAAGGTGGATGACCTCAGTTACAGCAGTGAGGGGTGCACTGTTGGAAGACCTGAAGGACCAGATTTGGGACAGATCATCATGGAGAAAAACTATGTAAGTGGTCAATAAGGCCAACCACAACTTGATGGCACATAATCAATCAATCAATCAACATCCAGATATGTTATCAAGAGAAAACCATTAAAGGATCCCTCTTATTTCCCAACTCATGGCGGCCTGCTCAGTTTGCTTTTCTTCTGAGTAGAAACTCAAATGAGGACGAACACAGTTAGGAGTAAAGTGGGAACTTTTAAAAATAAAAGTTGATCAAAATGTATGCTTTATTTTTAAATGATTATTTGTTCATCAAAATAAATAAACAGCAACAATGACAGACAGGAAGGAGGTAAACATAAGGAGATACTTTAAAGAAATAAAAGTACCCATCTTCTAATCTACAGAAACCTGTAACAAATTTTTTAGCATGAAATACGATAACTACTAGGGAGAATTTTGATAAAAACAGGCTTTTACTTTTTGTCTTAAAGTATCATGATATCACCCCCAATCAGTCCTCTGAAGCAAAGTCCTCTCTTAGATTTGCCAAGAGAATAAAATAATGCTTATTTTTGGCATGATCTTAATTGTGCTTTCTGCTATTAACTAAATATGCACATTCATTTTCATGCTGATTTTGTTTTTGTGGTAGGATATGGCATATGTTTAAATTGCTAAAGAACATCAGGACTCTAAAGAACTTTTCACCTGCTTCTCCAGAAAAATTAGCAAGTTTAGTAATGAATTTCACAGGGGCAGAAGGTAACTCTAGCTATGTCATTCTCTTCTATTACCATGCCATGTATTCCCATTGCTCGTTCCATCTTTTTTCTTTCTATATACAAAATTATAAAAGAAAAAGATGGAATAAATAAACTGTGTCAGAGATCATCTGAATACTAAACCTGAAAACTAAATTCAAAAACCTGGGAAGCAAAAAACAAACAGGGCCAGACAATTGGGAAATATTGCAAAATATCAGACAAATAAAAATACATTCTAATCCATTTACTTTTGAATTGGGAAGATTTCTCAGTCCTTCTGTAGCTTTTAAAAGTACAAATTGAAGCACTTTCCAATTCAGTTAAGATAATAAATGATAACAAGAGCCTTGGTAAAGCAAATCAACTTTTTACAACAGCTGAAGAAAAACACCATCTATATCACTATCATCACCCCTATACAGCTTATGGAGAGCATTACCATCGTATGTTAAATCCATGAAAGCAAAGGAAGAAATTGCATCTACGTGCTTTGCTACCACAAAAAAACCAGAACAGAATTGTAGTGTATAATAAGAATCTGAACTGGCCTCATTGTTTCTGGGGTTTTACAGCATAAACAGCCCAATACTAAGACTTTCATCATTAGAAAAGAACAAACCTAAGAATGAAGAGAACCTCCCTCTTTGAAACCATAGTACCACAACCACAGCGCTGTGCTAGAGGCACAAGGATATCCCATCGGCAAAGAGACCAGCAAAGAAACCCAGTTAGGATCTGCCCTGTCGTTGCCATCTGGCAAACTCAAAAAATGTATTCAGGTGTGGGCAGCCAGTTTGGTTTGTGCCCTAGACAGCTAGGAAAGCCATACGTGTCAGCGAGATTAGTATGCATCGCCTGATAGCCAGTTTAGCGTAGTGATTAAGGAGCTGCCCTAGAAACCAGGAGACGGTGAGTTCGAGTCCCGCCCTCTGGCATGAAAGCCGGCTGGGTGACTTTGGGCCAGTCCCTCTCTCTCAGCCCAACCCACCTCACAGGGGTTTTGTTGTGGGGAAAAATAGGAAGCAGGAGTATTAGGTAGGTTTGCCGCCTTGAGTTATAGATGTTAAAAAAAGGGATAAAAGTATCATCATCATCATCATCATCATCATCATCATCATCATCATCATCATCATCATCATAGAATACTAAAAACATACTGCATTCTGCGGCCTATTTTTTCCATATCCTTTCCGAGCTGAATAGGAACAGACTGGAGACGGACTAGTTCATCCTGGTGATAAAAAAATATATATATAAATATTAGCCTGCATGAATCTAAGCATTTAAGAATGTTTCAGGATGAATTAACTTCAGGCTGGGCTACAGTCATGACCAGAGAAAGTCCTGAAAATGAATGCTTTTTTTTTTACAGTGTGTTTGAGCTTTTTTCTACACTGCTTTGAAAGTGGACATCGAAACACAGCCCTTTAAACGGGCATCTATAGGTAGTCCTCTGTTACCTTTACTTCGTCTTCTTTCCGAAAGAGTTCGTCAAGTTCTTTATGATCCTTAGTGAGGCGTTTTTGCCTTGAAGACAGGTCTTCTTTCAGGACTCGGATTTCTTGCCTTCTGTGTGTTGCTTCTTTACGGAGCTCTTCGCAACTCTCCCTCAAGGCTTTAATTTTCTTATCAGCATCCTTCAAAAATGAAATTCAGTGACTCATGGTGTTAATGGAAAGATTACTTATTGTATTGACTGCAGGTTCATCTTGTCAAGGACGTCAAAGGAATTGTTTTATAGAGAGACGTTTGATCTGAGCTTTCAGCCCAATTAATTTCTTTGTGCTACCAATTCTTGCCATTTGCTTTTCAGTTCTCAAGCAGTCTCTCCTCAGAAACAATAATGACAGGAGAGAAGCATTCCAGTAATTGCAACCACTGAATTTTCTTTGACTGTATCCATCTGGAACACAAGACCTTATCTGCTTGGAAGATCCCAAAATCTTTTACCCTGGAAGCCAGGGCTCCAAGATTTTGGAAAGGCTTTTATTCCTGAAGCTAAGGCTAGTCCATGCAGGACTATTTACTATTTCTCCTCCATCCATACCCAGCCATCACAAGAGCATTCCTCACCTGTGTTTTGAAGCACTGCTTCAAAAGGACTGTTTCCCACCCTGAGCCATCTTCCAAGCGCTTAGTCTACTGCATTCTAGTCTAGTCTAGCATCATCCCTCGGCCATTCCGTCAGCTGGTCAGTAGCTTCCTTTTTTTTTTTTTGCTTCTTCTAGTTGATCCAACAATGGTCCATAAAGACCACGATGTCTCCAAGCTACTGTTTTCCCGACCTCTTCTACAACCTGACCTCTGTGGCCCCACGGTGGAAAGAAGGAACAATATATCCAGTTTGCTTTAATCACTGTAGCATCAAAGCAGTGATAGCATAATAAAGAGGGAAAGAAGGTTTTATGTTGGTGTCAAAGGAAAGAACATGAGAAGGAACTATAAAGTTATCCATGGGTGCAAACATCTGGGAAAGCAAAGAAAAAGAATGGGGATTAATGAAGAGGGAACAATCCCTAAAAGGAAAAGACAAGACACTGATAGATCTGCCCACACAGGGCCAGCCAGTGAGTGTTGCATTAATGGGAAGGGCAAAAATCAGGGGAAAAACCAATCAGGGCCTCTGCTGGCTGTAGTCCAGGTTGAGCACCAGCCCAACCCCATTGCCAAATGATGTAATCCACAATGAATTTTTTAAACTTGGTTTTAGGCAGAGCCAGAGAGACAAGCAGTTTAAGCTGTTATGCAGAATTGCCCTAGGTTTCGTAAACTGATAGGACAATTCGGTGCATATCTAGCTTATCCTCAGATAAAAAAAATATATGATTACAACCTTAATTGACTTTATACCGTACTTCATGATTTGCAGCAAAATCTGCAGATTTTGTTTTCAGCCTATTGTAATCGATATTTTTTTTTTTTTATATTTGTGTGTATGTGTGCATTTTAGACAAATTATTCCAAATTAGTCCTCTTAGGTAACGTGAGAATTCTACTTACAGAAGCTTTGGGCACTCTGCGATACTCTTTTTCAATTAATTTCTTGTCTTCTAATAAACTAGGCAGGATAAATAATACAAAAAATCAGCATATGATATCAATAATGTGATTTAAAACAGATCAACTGAAAGCACATACTCTTTAATATTTACAACAATGTGCAACTTAGAAAAGGCTCCATATGAAAGGATTTATCTTTTTGAAATAAAATGAATATTATTAACATCATTTTTCATTTTTTCATACACTATAGCCTTGACTATGTATTATAAAGATTATCATTGATTCCTATACAGAAAAGTGCACAACTTTGTTCATCCCTCAAAAACAGGGGACAAGGATGCATTATATCTTTCAGTCCACGCATCTTATTTCCACAATCTGCTTGTATTGTATAACATAAGGAAGGAAATTCTGTTTCAACAATTATGAAGCCCACAATAGAATACTAATTCTGAAATGATTTGTCACAGCCAATATAGGACTGACCTATTCACATTTTTATAACTATTTACTTTGTGTGTTTGTGACCCTCCCCTCTACAATTCGTATCTGCCAATACTATATTAGCATGGACAGATGAAAATGGAAATAGTTGATGTCACATCAATAGGAACTTTGTCTTCTGCCCCCTGGCAATGATCAACACTCAACAGAACATATTATAAAAATGATGCCACTAATATTAAATTTTTAATATACACATAATGTACATGTAGTTATAGTAATTATGATGTTGGATTAGGAGTAGTGAGATCCAGGTTCAAGTCCACCCTTAATCATGGAAATTCCACGGGTGACTTTGGGTCTCTCACACTCTCTCCACCCAACCTACCTCACAGGGTTGTTGTTGGGTGGAGAAAATGAAATGCGATCCTATGTACACTGCCTTGAATTCCTTGGAGAAAAGGCAGAAAGGAAATCTAAGAAATAGGAACAGGAGTTCCCAAATTGTACAGCACAGAATGGCAATGCATGACAGCTCCCTTCAGTCCCCAACAGGCTCTGCCAATATAAAAATATTATTTTCTGAAATCTCATGAGCTCTCAAAAACTCAGAAAGCTATTGCAATCTCACATAAGAGCCTGTGATCGGCTTTGGAGGATTTTGGTAATTCCTTTTTCTTTTGCTATAGTCTTCACCTGGGATTATATTTCTTCTTCCCAACCTAGTCTATGACTCCAGTATCCCCTATGGTCTCCCATCAAAGTCCTACCCAGCACTTGCCCTGCTCAGCTTCTAAGCCCAGATATGGTCCATCCCTGCTGAGATGGAAAAGAGAGAGGTGTAAACAAATAGCTGCGCTAAGCCAAATTTGATCCTATTGGCCAGTTGGCCATTCTACATCTAAAACTTCTGTGACCAGAGTGCATAATCTTAAGATTGCAAATATACGGTCTCCTGAAGGTCTGGGGACAAACTCTGAGACCCTGCAAAAGTGACTGCCAACTTGCAATTTTTCATGTGAGAGGAGAAAATTACATGAAACGTATTATGTAATTTTAAAGGGTTATTTTATTTCATGTAGTCCTAAAATTAAATTAAGTTTTTGTCCCACAGCCCCACACTTTGCAGAGCATGGGCCCACATGCCACTCAAAGGTAGCCCTGGCCCTCAATAAGGTCCCATTGCTTTTAGATCAACTGTGATCAAAAGCAATGGGGCCTAACAGAAAGTCATCAGGAGATGATGGAAGTCAACGCTTTCTTCATCAAAACATTACTCTAACCAAAAAAAAGATCCTGAACAGATCCTGTGGTGGACTTCTTTCAAGCCAATGCTGGCAAGCCACTTAGGCAACATGCCAAAGGACCACAGTTCAAAGGTAGGTGGGATCAGAATAAACAAATGTGTGGGTTCAAATCTAAAATTCAGTTTGAGTTCATGTCCTGCAGACTAAGTTACAATTAAATTAAGTACAATTCATACAACAGAAGTATGATTTAATGTATTTAATCATCACCTCCCTCCGCCATATTCAGAATTACAATTTGGCTGAAACTTTTGGAAGGGTTCAGAGGGTTGCCTTGTAGGGTAACACCAGAGAAGTTCTCATGCTCAGTTTATGTGTTCTTCCTTGGAAGTTCATTGTCATGCTTTCAGATGTGTCATGATCTCTTTTCAGTTATTTATTAACCGATAATCAAACCGCTGTTAATATATTGTTCCTGGGTTTGACATGAAGCAATCTCACGTCATTTGACAGTATCCTCTTCAGTATTTCCTGTTCAGGCAAGAATTCTAAAATCTCCTACTTTGTACCAGATGGGTAAAAGCTGAAAGCCTTTAGGAGATGCGCTCAGAGTAACAGGTTTTTATCTTTTCCTTCATTCCTTCTATTCAAACTCCCTGGGTTACTGGCAGTCTGGAATGACCCCACTCCCCATGCAGTTTTGTAAAATAGACAATCAGCCAAATATTACATCTACCTATTCAGCCTATATTGAATTTCAAACTCTCTCTCTTGAATCGCATTGTATTCATTGAAATATCTCAGGTACTGCTGTCTCAGTTTGGACAACTCTGAAGTGGAACTCTCTGGAAACTGTTCCGCTTTTTCAAGTTCCTGCTCCTGCTGTTCTAGCTGAAGCGTGAAGCGTTTGGCATCCTGCAACAGTTGAATTTCTGATTCCTGTAAACTAAAATAAAACCAGTGATAGAGGATACCCACATTTATCCAACAGATACACTCTATTGTATTGTAACTGACAACTATTATTTCATATACTTGTACAACTACATATACAGGTAATATAAGCCACCATCTTTGAGTGGGAGGATTTCTTCATTTATACCACATCCACAACGTCACAGTCTGTGGAGATGTATCAGCTGATGAGTGGGGTGGTTACTTACCTCCTATTCTCAGAGTTCATTTCAAAAACTTCAGTGGCTTGTCCTGATGTCTTGTTTTTTTGTTTTTTCCTTTGGCAGATAAAATCTGTTGCCTTCAACTGGACACCACCACTGAAGCAGAATCAGTTATGGAGGCAACTAGAACTCTACTTGTATGGTTGGATCAATTTCAATCTGTGTCACCCCAGACTATGGACAGGTTGCTTGGAGCAATACGTTTCATCACCTGATCCTTGTCCAACCTGGACCCCAATTTCTAGTCAGGAAGTTATTAGAGATGACTTAGCCATTAAAGTATTAAACATTACTTTCTAACAGAGGGAGGAATGTGTCTTTAACTTCCATTATTGTAGTGGCTTCTCAGCTGCAAGCCATCCTGGAGAGAGCATTACTTTGGCTCATTTCAAACTGGCTTCAGAACAGTCTCTGAAGTTGAGGTTTGGTTGGGAACTGTCAAGGAAACACGGCTCTGTTGACTCTTCTCAACTTCCCACCGATCTTTTATATCACATTCATGGCATCCCTTTGGATTGCCTGAGAGATTTGAGGACAGAAGTACAGTTCTATTCCAATCTTTCATGTAGTTTTGAAACGGTGACACTTGGAAATAGTTGTTCCTCATATTGGGATGTATCACATAGAATCTTTGAGGCTCAGTTCTGTCGCCTCTGTTTTTTGATATCTACATGAAATCACTGGGAGAGATCATCAGGAGATTACATCCAGATTGAATTTTCTTCAACATCTTCAGGTAGTGGTAGATACCCTTGAACCATTGATTATGATCAGTAATGACTGGGTGAGGAATAATAAATCAAAATTGAAGGAAAGAGATGCTCTGAGAGGTCACCGTTCTAGAGGGATCTCCTTGTTTTCAAAACAGTTGCACTCTATCTGAAACAGCAGATACAGTATGTAGCATGTTCCCAGATCTGCATCATTTTCTGATTTGCCAGACTGAGGCAACATTCAGGAACACTTCTTATCAGCTGTCACTAACATGCTATGGACATCTCTTCCTGAAGAACATGACCTTAAAAGCATTTGCGGATTACATCCAGCTTGACTACTATAACATAATCTATGTAGGGCTGCCTTTGTATATAGTCTGGAAACTTTTACACTTATGCTAAAAGCATTACACTGGCTGTCAGTTGGTTTCTGGGTGGAATACAAACTGCTGGTTATAACCTTTAAAGCCATATATGACGTTGAGGTTACTAAAAAGAACCTTTTTCTATAGGATTTGCCACTCACTGAGACCTTCTGAGAATTTACAGTGTCCACAGGCTTTTCTTGCAGTGATTAACAGCTGAATCTTTTCTTTAGTCATTCCAGATCTCTAAAATGCTTTGTTGAAATAATTTACCTCTTTCTGGTTTTCTAAAAATCCTTTAAAATAAACCTTTTAAAGGAGGTTTGTCACTCTTGATTCTAATTTGATTTTAAATTTTGCTTTTATGGTTTTATTGTAAACTATTGAGAGTTGGCAGTATAGCAAGTTTAATAAATAATTAAATCAACAGCGTCCAAAATGTAATTGATCCCTATACAAAGGCAGGAGAACATTGTCTCTTTCTCTAATTTTCTGTCTTTTCTGCCTTTTAGTACATTAGCATGCTTTTCCCTAATGCCAAGAATACAATAAAAAACAGGTCTCAGTGAAAGATAGCTTTATCCTCTGACTCACCATTTTAAGGCAAAGAAATACTGTATTTTGCAAAGTTAGAGAAATAAAGAATACATAAAATCATTAACTCATACAAATCAAACTGTTTTAAACTATTTCCCATTAAAAGCTATTTACATTTACTATCCTGTACCTCTCAACATTGTTCTTTCATCAGGTAAAGAGAATACTTGTTCTCAATATATTTTAAAGATATTTTAATTGATCATCATGTATTTAACACAGATGTAGATTACTGACTTTGTACACTGTAGTAACCTTGCATTGGTCACTGACTGGAATAGAGGTTGTTCTATACTGAAGTAAACTTTGATTTGATTAGCTAAGGATTTTTTTTATAAAGCTATAGTTATCTGGTTCATCTCACATTCTAAGCCCTAGGTCACAATTTACAAAGCATAGTAACAAAGTTACGCAATATTGTATATCTAACTCAACAAACTACATTAAGGCTGAAACAGGTTTTAAGTAACTACTGAAAACATTATGTATACAGAAAATACCAGAAGCTTACCTTACTAGAGTATCGTGTAACAGAGTATACTTTGCCTTCAGCTCAGCCACTCTAGTTCCAGGGATTTTTCCAGCATAAAACAACTATAAAATTGCAAGAGATAATCATTAATTACTTATATCTTGATGCTAGTGAGATTACTGAGCCACTGTGTAGCAAATCTGCCCACTTTAAGGCAATATTTAAATAAATTATAGTTGCATATATTTGGCAATGGACAAGCAATCAACACATATTCAGATAAGTTGTATGCCTGTTTCACAACTTCTGGAACATCACAGAATTGTCAATATTTTTTTTTAATTAAGCAAATCCTAGCATTAATATACATTTGCAAAATAATAAACAGACAGATAATCTTTATAAATACCTGGCTACATTTTAATAGATACACCACATTGTTGATACAATGCTGGTGAAATCAAAGGTGGCACCAAGACTGAAACCATTGTATTTTGGAAGGAGACAGTGAACAAGGTAGTTCTTTTTTTCTTTTTCTTTTTCTTTTTCTTTTTCTTTTTTCAGTGCACCATATTTGTAGACTACTGCTGTGGACAGCCATATCTACAGTTAACACCATTGGGAAGACAGACACCAGGAGATGGCCACATTAGGTCACAGTCATTGAAGAAGGCAGATACTAGACCAGAAACCACAGGCAGGCAGTTACAGCAAGAAATGCACAGCAAGATGATAGGCAGCAAACAACAAAGAATTGGACAATCTGAGACTGAAGATGGCCCGGATTCCACTGGTGGCCAAGAAGTAGTTTTGGTCACTGAGGTCCTGGTAGGGTTTGGACAAGGAAGCTGGAGAAGGAACTTAGATTGGCCATTCCAAGGAGGAAGAATCAAGAATGGAAGTGGAAAGTTTCTTCTGGAGTGAGATCCTGTGAACTCTGGACCTAACTGAGAGTGGACAGGGGAAGGAGCCCTGTGGGAAGGGGTGGAAAAAAATAACAAACAAAGAAAGCTAACCACAGTTTAAGGTTCATAAAACAATGGCTGTGTTCATAAGTGGCCCTATACAATTGTGTGGTTTGCTTGATTTTGCCATAGCTATCAGTTTCACTGTGGTTTATCATTGTGTTAGCTGTTTTTATCAGTGTGGTTTTTAATTATATCATTATGATTTTAAACCATGATTAACGACTTAATGTATTCTGTGAATCCAGCCAACTATAATTTATTCAAGTAATCAGGTTTTATAAAATTATGGTTTAATCCAGCCAATACAGTTTGTTATTTTCTAATTTATGCCAGTGAAGTACTCAGAAGGAAACTGTTAAAGAGTGTTAGACTATAATCCTAAATACTTTATACAAGAGTATATTGGTCTCTTATACTTATATATTGGTTATATAGGTTATATATTAGTAAACATATATAGAACCAATCTGCACATGGGTTAGAAATATAGTTTTTTCTATTTAAGTAAAACTTAACAAAAACTTCTAATAGAAAGCTAAACATAAGCAGCCCCCTTAAATCTGCAATCATTCCCCCCTCTTGATACGTGGAGCTGCTCCTGAGGGCTTTGAATTTTATTTAAAAATCGCAGCCTCACCATAAACCTTTGGGGATGTGCCACTGAATCAGCTTACACAGCTGGCACGACAAGTCCAGAAAGATTTAATATGATTAGTACCCAGTCTTATGGGTTATGGGAAACATATGGCTAGTTCTCTGAAATATTTAAGTATTATTTTGTTGAGATATAGCTGTGGGGGAGCGGCGGCCATGAATTCAGATTGCGGCCATGGCACAGGAGCAAAAAAAAAAGAACAAAAAAATCAGAACTGCCCATGATTGTTCTCTAATGCAAAATACTTTCTGACCCCCCAAGAGCTGCTACGAGCTTCAGTCAGAAACATTTGGTCCCAATTTCCATGCCTATCAATTTTATTCTTCATAGCTAATAGCAAGTTTGAGGTGAAGGGGAAGTAATTTGCACTGGGGAACTGATGCAAGGAGAAAGAATTACACTGTCTATGCCTTGATCAACTGCTTTAAGCAATGACATAAAAGAAACACCCAGGTACAAATCTTCAGTGCCATATGCAGCCTCAATTATTACATGCTGCAGGTATATGCCACACTTGGCAACCTTTGCACCTTGGAACAAGTGTGAAAATAGGATGCCTCCAACAATGTCTTGAAGGGTTTTTTTTCCCAACATCAAACTGGAACACTACCAATTAAATACCCCATACCTGCCTTCAGCTTTTGGAAATTGCAGGAAGGCTCTCATTCGTGGACCTCTGGTACCATTTGTACTATCCACCGCTAAGGTGGAGCGTTCCTTAGCTCTGTTCAAGTAGGCAGACAGACACAGCCCCTCACAAGTAAACGTGCTCCCTGGTGACAGAAGTAACCCATTACAAGATTGCTGCAGGGAAGCCTGATGTGAGCTCTTGCCTTGTGCTTATGATCAAGCCAAACCAGAGGAAGCTCTGATGTTGGTCAGTTATTACTAGACAACCCCATAAGCATAGGAGTAGGCAAGCTATCAGCTAGGTGAGTCTTGCTGGTGTTAGTCAACAGCAGCATGCAATGGCCTGAACTAGCCGCAGAAATGTTAAAACTGGCTCCGGCCTTTAGCCCAGAATTTAAACAGAGATTAATGAGGGTTCCCCAGTAATATAATCATCATTATGAGTTTCGTAGAGAACTGGATTCATTGTTGCATAAATACAAGTAACTGTGTATACAGCAACAGGAACATTACAAGGAGAATAATTTCCTGCCTGAGTAAGAAGTTCAGAATGTGGCCTTTGGTCAAGAATTTATACTTTTGCAGTACACTTTGAAACAACAGATCACAATACTATTCTCCAGGGACATGTCAACACAGCAAGACAGAGTCCTTGAGCCTAATACGCACAAATTTTGGGAATGCTTGCTATTTGACTAGTGGCATTATAACCCCTAGTCTTGAAAGTGATTCATCAAATCACAATAAGAATTCCTTTCTATAAGTTTAGTTCCACAGTAACTTTATTTACATGCAATAGAAACAGGACTTCAGCCTGTTTTGAAAAAGATGGGTCGTGCTGCCTCAAGTAGGTTTTGAAATTGGAATTGCACACAAGTTATATAAAGTGAAAACTAATTTTAGGGAACTGGGAAGTAATTCCATATTTATTGTAAAAGTGTGCTTATGTCCGGTATGTGAGCTTCCCAGATTCTCTGTTGGCCATAAAGTGAATCTCCATGCTGGCAAGATAGGCCTTTAGCCTGATCCAGCTGGGGTCTTGATATTCTTATTAATTTGGTTCTTTGATTAATTGGACTTTTCCTCCATCACAGATACAAAAATACCCAAATCTCATACTCAGCACTTGGGAGTTGCTGTTTTTCTTGCTAGAACCAGAGGATACATAAGAAACTGCAATGCAGATGTGGTCTTCAAAAGCATTGCCAATTATCCTGCCAATGACCCCACATCCTATCAGTCTTCTCTGGGTGAGGCTTTTGTGTTCAGACAGCCCAACTCTATCCCTAGGATAGAAGCAGAGAGTTCTTTTCTCCTGAACTACCTACTACACATGTTGCTGATGAGGATTCAGTTCTTGATAGACATGCTCATCTGAGCTTTGTTCAAGTGTTTGGATTTCACTGAGCAAAATATTAAGTTGGATAACAAGAATGAAAACAAACAGGAAAAATAACATGCAACTGATAACTCACATATAACCATTATCAAACCAGTAATTTTATGAAGTAACTTTGAGATTAGAAATTCTTATCATTACTATTATATTCATCTTTGCAATTTACATCCCACTTTTCTGCCCGTAGACCGCTGGGGATTACACAACAGTCCCTCACTAAGCACTAATAGCACATTCTCAGGAATGAGATAAAAGCTCACATAGGATCTTTGCACCCAGGCACTTATCATTGACTAGTTGCTGATGAATATAAAAGGACTGAAGCCACTGGTCCATAGTTAAGAGACAAAGCAATATGTAAATTGTGTTGTTAACTATATATACTGTACCTAGCCTCTAGACACTTTCTCTTCATTTCAAGCTAACATAGAACATTCCAGACAAACATACATATTCGTCATTCTACTCCCTTTTAAGGCAAGCAATGCTATGCAGAGCAGAAAAAGAATAAGGAGTAGTAAGCCAAAGAAATTAGACGCAGGAGATAAGAGAAAATGAAATCTAACCAAATCTAGTTCACAACAGTATCCTTCCTTCTCCTTTTCTAACCTTGCAAACCATTCTCTTTAGCTTGGTCCAAACACAGTCTTTGCAATCCATTCATTCTTTCATCATGAATCTTTTTGCAATTTGATCCTCGTTCGCTTTCATTCCACACAAAGGGAAAGAAAACAAAAGAGGACAAGAGAATAAGGGCAGGTCAGAACTTTACACACCTGCTCCTCCAGTGCTGAAACTAAGGGAAAATTTGACAACACTTTTGTCAATTTCAAAATAGTTGAAACAACTTCCTGTTTCATCTAGGCTACTGAGGCAGACCTCCAAAGCACTGAAGCTAACATTCCACTTACAGGACCTGAAGCTCAGGAACTGCAAGGGGGAGAAGAGCAAGAGATCCTTCCAATAGGAAAACAGAGCCATAGTATCTTAAACAACAAACAAACAAACAAACAAAAAGAAAAACTTTTTGTTTCAATTATACTGCAGTTGACAGAGAAATATATCAGCTCAGTTCTCCAACACTAAGGATGTCTGGGTACCAAGAGGTCTGGGATTGCTTTAAGACTGGTCCAGAAACTTTATGATCCTTATGATCCTCATAAACATTATGCATTGGGCAACCATCTTCTGCCCTGTTGACCTTGGAATGCTGAGAGAATATACCGTACACCGATCAGTCCTCTCTCTGTATGACCAATAGGACAGCATGAATGTGATTTTTCAGTCAACACTGAGGTATGGCAGTTTTTAAAGTAGAAGAATCTCTTCAGCCTTGTTCCAGGCAGAAAAAGTAGAAAAAACGATTCCTAGGATCTCCGTGTGGTTTCAGTATATTTTGTGTAAATTGGCCAGTTGCTAAAAAATGCAAGCTTTGGTACAAGGGGAAAACTGCTAGCTGTCAAGAGTTCATTCTTCTTAAGCACCTGGCTGTCAAGAGCGCCAACATTACAAATTACACAACAGAAGTTTAGAACACACAGTGTATAAAATACAAATTAATCCATCAAATATGTCAAATTTGCTGACTCAACAATAATTGTACCATTACACGTCCTCTAACCAATGAAAGTGTAAGAATGAAAAATAATGGGATAAGGATACGTTGAAGCTGCATCAATCAACATTCTACTGTTCTTAATATATTTCTGATGGTTCAATGAACAATTTTTTAAATATTTGAAAATATTTCAGAAACAAAAAATAGGGATCCTTTCCATGTCAAGAAATACCTGATCATAGGAAAATAAATCCCCATAGTTCACATAGTTCAAATCAAGATTTAATTTTGATGTTTTCCTTTTCTGACTGAATCAACAATAAATCCAGAGATTAGAGATTAATTAGAGATCTGCTCCCTCCCTTCCTTGTGGAAAATTGTAGCTAGTGAACCTGAAGGAAAAGATCCTTAAACAAACAAAATACAGGAAGTACATGGCTGATTATTCCCACTTCTTAACTGATCCCAAAGAGATTTATAGTTTTTCCAGTATCTGATTGTTAATAGGCAATTTTGCCTTTCTAAACATTTCCTACAACAGGATAAAAGTAAAGTTGCCTTTGAGATATCTTGATTCTTGAGGCCTTCATCAGCATGTCCATATTGTTTTCTTGTTGACAATACCAAAATGGTTTGCCACTGACTTCATTCAGGATGTTTTTTAATTCTTCCCAGTCTAGAACACATCTCTATATTTCCTGCTGATCTTTCATCCAAGTATTAACTAGGTTCAACCCTGTATATGTATATGTATGTGTATGTGTATGTGTATATGTATGTGTATATGTATATGTATGTGTATGTATGTATATATACACACACACACACACACACAAATATAGACACACACATGTGCACACAAATTAAACATATAAATTACCATATACAGTCCAAATTTTTAAACAGACCTCCAGCTGGGACACTAGGAGGTAAAATTCTTGTTCAACCATAGAAAGAGTGGTGAGTTCTCCTGACCATTTTATAACTGAGAGACTAGGTATCATCTTTTGTCATGTTAATGCCTTTAACATAAACAATTTATTGTCTTTACTAAAGATGAGCACCTCATGACTTCCAGGTAATTAACAACTTGAAAGAACCAATACAAATCTCGGAGGGCCCCACACTTCATTGTGAGAACTGACCATTTCCTGTATTTCAACACATGATTAATTCACAGGAGTACGTCTCTTATTCCATACCTACTAAATTTGCTCAGGAATCTTTGGTGCCAAACTTCATCAAAACTATTTTATGAGCTCAAATAAACAATGTCTGGATATTCTGTAAGGTTATTGAGAAAAGCCTTATCTTTGCAGAAGGCTGTTGACTCTTATTCAGCAGAATTTTATCATTTAAAAATAACTAGAACAAATGATAAGATAAACAGTCTGTAATTTTCTGCAAGTTTTCCAGAATTCTTTTTTAAAAACCAGTATTATATTGCCCCTTTCCAGTCCATGGGTACAAAGGCTTCTCTTATGAATGTGTTATATATTTTTATTACATACTTTTTAATCTTAGGGATAGCAATTTTACATTTGAGCAATCATTGAACGCTAAGCGTTTTATTTTCCCTACGTGGTTCAGAAACTTCTAGCTTTCAAAAAGGTGTCCCTTTCCAAATGTGTCTATATGCTGATGGCCAATTTCCACCGCATCCCTCTTGGGCAATCAAAGACTTGCAAATGTCAGTGGTGGCAACATGCGTTATGGCTAATGATCCCACCCGGCTCCACTTCCTCTGCGCCATGAGGGAGGCATTCCACTGTGCCACTGCCGATCACAAACTCATTTCTCCATGTTTGTAATACCTCATTATCCAGTACCAGGAATCTTCCACCACTGAAGGCATATTTCAGGCATGAAAGGTATATTTTCATCTAGCAAGACATGGATCTATATCAGGCAGAGGATGAGGCTGCCCAGTACCCCAAGACTGCACCGCTGAAATTCAACAGCAAAATACTCAGATTTTAACAATGTGATTGTAGCACATTTTTCAGAGTTTGAGGTGGTTTTAATGGTGGATATAGGAGTGGTTTGCCGGGGGGGGGGCTCCCACTCCCATCCCCATTCTTAGACACCTCAAAAAAGGCAAAAACATGGGCTGAAAAATGTTTGGCTGTGTCTCTTTTTGTGACATTGTGTCAGTGTGATGGAAGGCATGAGCGGGGAAGGTTCTGGAATGGAGCTTCAAGGTAGCCAGGAGGGGGAAGAGACATTCCAAGGGAAGCACCTCCTCAGTCCCCAGCCGGAGTGTGGGAAAGCCAAGGGAATGAGACTGGTCCCTCCCTGGGGCCTCATGGTTATAGTTACTGTTGTTGTGGTGTAGATTTAGTCTGGCGAGATTCTGCCTATTAGGTGTAAGCTGATAAAGGGACTAAATTGTTCTGGACTGTCTCGCTGTTGTTCTTGGGCTGAACCTGACAGTCAGTCCTTTGGGACAGACCAGATCAGGAAACAGATTCCATGGGAAGACTAGAACTATACTTTATTGACATAGGCTATAACAACAGAATCTTGCAAGCCTGGTTGTGTTTACCTCTCCTCCCTCTTATATCACAGTGAATCGGGGAGAAGCCTGTCTGAACCTCTTCCGGATGCTATCTTGTTTCCCAGGACTTAAGGAATATTTCAGCCCTCTTTGCTTATATAACAGTTCTTGTCTATTTCTCTCAAGGTCACCTCCCTGATTCTCTATACACTGGTTTCATATAGAAGGTTTTTAGAGAATCAGTAGGTAAGTTGTGCCCCCAAACAGTGCCCATCCCAGCCATAAATGATAGCTTCCCTCCTTCTTCTTCTCCATGCCTACCCTATCCATGAGAGCAGTGGTAGTTACTACTCCAGGAGCAGGATGGCGCTACCTTGTCCTAATGGCATCATCCCACCTTCGGCTCTTGTGCCCTCAAGAATATGAATCCAAGAAATCATAGTCTTAAGCATACATTGACAACATCTCTCCAGCAGGTGCATTGTTGCACAGTTGATATAACATGCCCATTAAACCTTTCCAAACAATTTAGGACACTTTTTTTCAAAAAAGGAAACTACTACTGAACGATAAAAACTGGAAGTCCAGCAGCAACCCCCATGTCTGACTGATGCCTGGCATTTGAGAACTGAGCAAGACCTAGTTGAAAACAAATACTGTCAGTTTGACTTGAATATACTTCCAAGTAAATTTATTTTATGAGAAAGCAAACTATAGGACAACTTTATATACATCATAATTGTGGCAAATGCACATCATGGAACCATTTCTCCATCTGCTCAGCCATCTAAATTAGTAGTAACAAATATTGCCATTTTTACTTTGTGGCTATACTTCATGGATAAATCTGGAGGGAACCCATCACACAGGTGAGTAAGATCAATATTCAATTTATCCTCTCATATTTTCATCTCTAAACTGTCCATTTTTTCATCTACAGAAGTATTTTTCAACAGCCATAATTTTGTCTGCTGTAAAAATTATACGTTATAGCTGTTTACTCTTAGACATGGAAGACAGAATTCTCATCATATTAGTTGTACTTCCATTTCCAATCAAAAGCTGCACATTTTCTGTTTCTTCTCAAAGCAATGAATTCTCTAGCTAGGTGGCAGCATCTGGTCAATCATAACCAATCTTGAAAGCTAAGCAGGTCAGTCCTTGGATGGGTGACCACCCAAAAAGATTAGAACTTAAAGACAGACTAGAAAGTTGAAGAAACATCTTGGAAAAAGGCAAATGTAAACCACTTCTATACTGTTTCCAAGTAAATTACATGGACATCTCTCAATAATTACCAGGATTGAGCTCAACTCATGGAAGACTTCATTTTTATAACATGAATATATATGTAAGATTTGTTTTATTCATATATGAGAATTGTAAGCCTGAGTGTTTTGTTTTTAAACTTTCCTCAGTTTCCCCCCCCCCTCTTTTTACATATAAACTAAGGTAAAAGGCAAATTCTGCATTAGAGATCATTAGGAAAGCAATTGAAAATTAAAATACTAGTATCATTATTTCATGCAATCAATACTTGGGATTCAGTTGTGGTTACTGCACCTCAAAAAGGATATTGTGTGGTTGGAAAAAGTGCCAAAACAGTACAGTCAAAACAACTGGGGTGAGAGTGAGTTGGGGCCATTGGTCCATTTGGCTTTAGAAAACAGGAGAATGGAAAGGAATCATGATTGTAGCTTGTACAATTAGATATGGTATAAAGAAAGGGCCAGGGGAAAAAGAGAATTTTCTTCTGGTCTAACATAATTTACTCTTAAGGCCGTTCTGATTTTCCAAAGAAAACCAATCTAAAACAGATTAAAATATTAGTGCGGGGGGGAATCTTACAATCTACATCTGTGTATCCTGATGAATGTTGCTTACGTGGACAAGTGCTGAAGATAATGCTGAACAGCATGTGAGTTTGGGTAACTTCCCTCACGTTAGCTACTCCACTCTGCTATTAATATCACTGCAGCCTGTTATGATGCAAGAAACGCCCGCCCTTTTCTGAGAACAGTGCCGTCTGTGATAACTCACAGGCACCAGTGAGCTGTTCTATATAAAAGTTTCTGAAGCTCTGCACACTTCCTCACTGGGCTACATTCTCAGAAAAGATGAAGCTCGCCTACAAAATTTTCCTGCAGACAGTAACCCTGCTTTTTACAAACAGGTTTGCTCTATCCGAAGAAAATGCAGGAAGGGGAGAAGAGGCGAAGGCATCTCCTGCTTGTCCTCTCATGCTCCAAAGCAGTGGGAAATGTGATGGAGAAGAATGCCCCTATCAGATTAATTTTCCTCCAATGACCCTCCAGCTACCCAAGCAGTTTCAACTGATTGAGAAGACCCTCAAAGAAGTGCAGCACCTTAAAGAAATGGTTAACAATTTAAAGAAATCCTGCCAAGACTGTAAACTCCAGGCAGATGATAATCAAGAGAAAAATAGCAATGAATTTCTGCCACCTGACACAGATGGCCCAACAAACCATAGCAAAATACAAGATAACCAAGGAACGGACCTGCAGGAGAAGGTTTCCAAGCTGTCAGATAGTCTGAAGAATGCAAAGAACCAGATCCATACTTTACACGGTCGTCTGGAGAAAATGAATCTCATAAACATGAACAATGTGGAAAACTACGTAGACAACAAAGTTGCCAATCTGACATTTTTTGTGAACAGTTTGGATGTAAAGTGCTCTTCACAATGTCCAGCTATAGAATCAAAGCCAGGTAGGTTGGCTTTTACTATTTCTGCATGTATTTAAAGTATTAAAACAGCATCGTATTCAGAATGTTGTTGAATCATGTTACAAAGAAGCAAGGATTTGTGGGTTGATACTTACCTAAAAGAAAAAGTAATGGATTAGAAGTTATTAAACCCCTTTGTTTTGGAATTAGGGAACTTCTGAAGAGTGAGAAAAGCAGCAGATGAATATGGTTGAAGACATTATCAGTGAAATCCAGTATCATTATTTGGTCAGCTGAGAAGCAGCATCAGTCAGCATTTAGTTGCAGATTTTTCTGTTTATGTGAAAGGATTTAAAACCCACATACAGCCTCACACTTTTTGTAGACATTTGGATCAACACCTCAGGCAAAATCACAATTTATGGCAGGCTTCCTCCTGGGGCTTCTGAAAGAAACATGAGCCTATGAGAAGCTGAGTACTTTTGCTGAGAAGCAGCAGCCTGTCAAATATGAAACTGACCATCATCAGCTGCACTGGAACAGCATTAGTCTGTATCTTACTGGGTTGTATGACAGCATCCTTTGCTGCTCACTAGGGAGTACCAGTTACATGCCCAGTTACTTGCTTTCTGGCCAGGGCTGAATCACGTCCATTTAATGCATAGAAACTACAAAATGTCAAGTTAATTTTATTACAGGGGTAGTTCTCCTGATGATGGTTAGTGTTCTTGAGTTCATAGTGAAGTTCTTTTATATCCATAAGGTTAATTCACAGAGAAAAATATTAAGGAACCAGAGTTTTGGAACAAGAGTAAGAGTGAAGACTGTATCTAGGTTGGGTTGGGGTTTTAGGGGTGAAGGGGGAGATGAGTTTTTCAAACCATTTATGACGGGATTGGAACACCTGAATAACATTTTATCTGTACTTTTCCCCTACTATTTTTAGCTTTATCTTGAGAACACTGATGCTAAACAGATTTGTTAACTGCCTCAGTTTTAGACTGGAGTGATGTGAAACTCTCATGCATGTGAACTTTCCAAAGACCTCAAACTAAAAAGCTAAAAGGTTCATCATGAAATATTATTTTGAATTACTTTAAAAAGTTATTAAATTGCTTGCTGTAAGTTATATGTTTGCTATAATCTTACAGGGGAAGGCACAAATGATTATATTTCTCAGCTGCAAACTTCTGGATCTAAGCAGGAATAATACCTTCCAAATGGATGGCACATGATATACCAAGAGTGGAATTTTGGCAAAATTTCATAATATAAGCAATGTAAAATGAGATATTATTTTGGGTATAATGTCCTTCCAACTATGCAGTTTTAGGAGTTGCTTTATCTTTAATGTATCCTGTTCTAACCACAAAAAATGGCTCTTGGCATTCAAACATTATCAATCTATTTTGGCTTTCAGATATTTTCTTCAAGGATTTTTCAAGCGATGTAACACTTAAAATTGGTTACAGTAAATAGGGCAACTTAAGAATCCAGTTGATATTTCTGATTATTAACATCCAGAAGCAGACAGAAATGTTTATTCTGAAAGCATATTGAATGATTAATAAACTTCAGATTTTATTATAAAGAAATCTGGACCAGTAATAAATTGTTGCCACTGGCATACCTTCCAAACAGTATAAGGATGCCTAGGAATAAATATATCATCACTATTTAAATGGCCCATTTAAACTGCAATTGTGGACTTGGGCAGATCAGAATGAGGGCATTCTTACACTGTTTTAAAGTTACTCTTTGCTTCAGGAAAGAAAATGACATAACTGTTAATAAAAGTTTCACGCAGAATGTGTGGTGAATTTCATTGTGACCATGGTATAGATATAGGGAAAGAGTTTTTAAAAAACTCCTCACTGCACACAGCATTCCTAATGCCTTACCACCCACAAGCCCAGTTCAACTGTTTGAAAACCAGGTATGTTGACTGCAATCAGGCATTTAACATCACCTCTAATTGAAGCCCAAGTGAACTGTGTAGGTGTTTTCTATATTTCCTCAGTGAACCAGGATGCTTTACTAGATTCCAAAAGAAAAAAAAATTAGGCTTCCTCTTTCAGAGCTGGTATACCAAAGGGATGGTGAATCTGTGGTCAAGATGTTGCTAACTACAATCCCCAACGGTCTCAGTCAGGGTCGCTAAGATGATAGCTCCACAATGTTTGATGCACCATAGGCTTCCTACCACTGTTTGCACTTTCACTAAAATAACCTATTCTTCCCAAATGTTGTCTTGAAATAAATAGGAATTGCCAAATAATTTCTATAACACAGTTGTCTTTAGAGTACTAGCATTCCCCCTTATTCTAACACTGCCTCATGGTGCATTAAATCTATTAAAGTGGCTTTTTCCCCATTACCGTGGAGGGAAGTCAAGTGACTTCCAGTAACTGGGAACCAAAGTTGTCCATAGGGTGTGGTCAAAAAAGTCAAATGGTGACCATGACAGTGCAATCAAAGCTCAGCTTGTTTTTTATGTTAAGCTTTGGTTGTACCATTACAATGGCCATCTTGACTTTTTTGACCATATCTGGCAGAAACCTCTGCAGGATAAAGATAAGCCTTGGGGACAGCGAGGGATAATTTTCTGCTGTCTCCAGGATAGGTGGAAATCATGAGGAACAGAACCATGAGGAAATTCAGTGCATTATCTGCATATTGACTATGCCTAAAACAAACATTTTAACTATTATCAGAGAAATAAAACCATTACTTCCATGCTACGTTCATAATGCTAAACTACCCTGAATCTACCCAAATAAGCCATATGTGAGTGACCCCGTTTCTGGAGAGTAAGAACAGGACATGTGAATCACATAATTAAACTATCCAGCAGATGGATTTTATAGAATCCCATAAAACTGCTAGCTACCTTAGAGGTCATGTAGTCCAACTATCCAGCCAGTTAGAGTCAGATGACTAATGTGGCATCAAAACATTTGTACTAAACAAATAAAGCAATCCCTTGCTCAGTGAACAATTGACTGTCACAGCTTCTCTGACAGATGATGATCCCGACTGTTTGAAGAAGCCTACTGAAAAAGAACTCACACTTCATGTGGTAGCTTGTTCCACTGGCTGACAGTTCATACACTCAGGAAGTTCTTCCTAATACCTAGTCAGAACCTACTTTCTTGTAGTTTTAATCCATAGCTTCTGGTCTTGACCTCTGGGGCAATAGAAAATAAGTCCATTCCCTCTTCTACATGACAACCCTTCAGATATTTGAAGAGTGCATCCCATTTCCCCTCTGTCATCTTTTTGGAAGACTAAACATATTCTTTAACCATTCCTTATAGGATTTGGTTTCTCCATCCCTCACCATCTTGATAGCCCTCTTCTGAATTTGGACTGTGCATAGTAGATATTTACATCTGTTGATGGAGGTGCAATAACTAGGATTTTTAAGAATCTCTCTCCCTAGTTATGAAATCCTGCCCCAATGCTCAAAAACTAGCAGTTACTATTTGATCACAGGTAGTCCTTGCTTAACAACCACAACTGGGATTGGCAACTCTCTTGCTAGGTGACGAGGTTCTTAAGCAAGACATCACGTGACCGCAACTTGCAATTTTACTGCTGGCTTCTCCATTGACTTTGCTTGTTGGAAGCTGGCTGTGAAGCATGCAAATGGCGATCATGTGACCGCAGGGTGCTGCGACAGTCATAAATGCTCACCAGTTGCTAACTGACCACATCTCAATCTTGTGACTGCGGGGACACTGCAACAGTCATGTGTGCGAGGACTGATCAAAAAGTTACTTTTTCTGTGCCATCATAACTTCAAACAGTCACTAAACAAGGCAGTCATTAAATGAGGACTACCTGTATGTGACCTCCAGAATTACTCCATTCCAATAGCCTAAGTGTTTGAAACAATATAATCTGGCTCCCTGACATCTTCAAATGATAATTCCAGCACATTCACGTAAGAATCAACATTTCCTTCTCTATAAAATATAAATTAAATGCTGCATGTTAACAATTTTTGCGTAAGAAAAAAAATCCAAGAACATGTCATTTGTAATGACATAATGATATGAAATACTAATGACATAAAATAGTTTACAATAATGGGGACACAGCTGGAAGAATTTTTTAAAAAATAAAAAGTGTTACATTCCTGTTTGGACCAAAAGTCAAGAAGTTATGCAATACCACTGTTACAGGAAATCACTGTCATCCTTTTAAATGACCATTTTCAGAGTATGTTATGTGCATAATAGTTTGAGACAGGTAGCAGAACCACTGATATCTCTACAAAATAACTGACCGTAACAGACAGGTTTCAGCCAACTTTCTTAAAAATAAACCAATCTCTTTTCCCCGAAAGGACAGCGGTTCATGTTGAACGCAACAGTTGACATACAGCTGACATACACGGAGATATAAAAATCATGTGGACAGTTCTTTTCCAGCTCCACCCAAAGAAATCCACCTCACAGATGTTGAGAACATCAGTGTAAACACTTTGAGCTGCCACATAGTACTAAGAACTGTTATAATAAAACATTTGCCTCTAAGAGTTCTTGCAGCAGATCTCAATGACTGTAAGGTATTTTATTAAAGGAGATAGACAGACAGACAGCAGTTCTCAACAGCACTGAATAATTTATTCTACATATGTGCTCTAACACCAATAAAAAACTTTTCTTTTTTGGAAATATCGTCTCATTACAATTGCTTCCTTTTGTATTCTGTCCGATAAGTAAACATAGCCTGCCAGTTGTGATAACGGCTGTCTTCCTCCCTCTATCCAGTTATCCAGCTTCTGCAAGGAGACTGTTCCAACCATTTTGCAGCAGGAAACCGGCGCAACGGAATCTACAAAATCACCCCAGATCCCAGAAAAAGCAGCTTTGATGTTTACTGCGACATGGAATCGTTTGGGGGTGGCTGGACTGTGTTTCAGATGCGTCAGGATGGTAGTGTCTCTTTCAACCGAACCTGGGAGGAATACAAGAATGGCTTTGGAAATGGTAGGGAGTTCTGGCTAGGGAATGACAAAATTCACCTCCTGACCAAAAGCAAGGAGATGCAGTTGAGGATTGAGCTTGAAGATTTCAGCGGCATCAGAGAATATGCTAAATATGACCAGTTCTATGTTGCAAATGAATATCTCAGATATCGGTTAAACATTGGCAGCTACAGTGGCACCGCAGGGGATGCCTTGCACTTTAATAAATTCTACAACCATGATCAAAAGTTCTTTACCACCCCAGACAGGGATAATGACAGATACGTTGAAGGCAACTGTGGAGCCTATTATAGCTCTGGATGGTGGTTTGATGCATGTCTGGCTGCTAATCTAAATGGCAAATATTATAACAAAAAATATAAAGGGGTTCGCAATGGGATTTTCTGGGGCACATGGCCTGGAGCTTCTGATGATAACATGAATGGCTATAGAAAACCTTTTAGAAAGGTTAAAATGATGATGAGACCCCAAAACTTTGTGCCATGAATTCCCCCCCACCCACAAGTCCCTTTATCCAATATTGGCACCTTTCCCCAATATTTGAGTGCAATTTAAGAATATTCTGTTACATTTTCTTTTTTAATATTTTTCTCTTGCGAACATTCCTCTTCCAAAAGCACACAGACGTATTTTCCTGGTGAAATTTATTATACACAAAGATATATCTACATTTTTGAAGCAAATAATACTTCAGCCTCATACATGGTCAAAATTCGAGTTTAAGCTATTTTGACACAGTGACTTTGAAGGAATTCCACTATTCCAGTACCATTATCTGTTCTAGCTCCTGGCAAAAGGTTTAGATGATTTGTAATTTGTAATGCTCCTTCAACACATTCCAGAAACATCTTAAGAAACTCAATAAATCCCCCCCCCCCACGGTTTCTCAGCTTAGTCTACTTTACAGGGTTAGTGTTGGGATAAAATGAGGGAAAGCCCCAAAACATGCTGCCTTGAATTTCTGGAGAAAAAGCTGCACATAAATCTGATTTAACAGTTTGCTTCAGAGCCAGTGAAACTAAGTTGCCTTGCCATGCTTTCCAAGGCAGGACAATAGTCTTCATCTCTCTATGATTATTCCTTTCTATGTAAATAATAGAGATTATATTTTTATAGATGATGAATTATTCATTGCCATTGTTAACTGTCACTTTTCTTTTTCATGAACCATGCCTAAATAGTTTGTAGAAGAGTAGCTGTGTTAGTCTTTTTCAGTAAAAAAATACATGAACACTCTTGGAGCACCTTAATTAATTTTAGTTTTATAATATGTTATTGTAGCATATTATAATAATTTTATTATAATATGCTATAAAGTTTATTATAGCATAAAAATACATGGACTACAGTTGACTTTATTGGATGCATGAATCTGAAATGGTTGACTTTAATCCACATTCGATTAGATGCTGTTATCATTTCTAATGAATTTGTGGAGCTTACACATGAAATCTATCATAATAATTATGCCACCTCTTCAAATGTGAATGTACATAAAAGTTGGGATTCACTCAGACAAGATTAGATAGCTTTAACTGCCATTGAAAACAATGGGAGATGTTAATCATGGCACTTGAAAACAAGGAGAATTAAATTAGCTTAAATTACAGTAGGCCTAAAGAAGTATTTCCGGATCTAGATTCAAAATGCTAGTTTTATATATGGGTGAAGAAAGAATCCAAAACATATCTTTAAGTATACAGAAGGAAAACCATAACTTAACGTTCCACATTTAGGTCAACAGCTGTCACATCATGGTGAAAATTAACATGTCATACCATAATTCCATGCAGTCTTAATAGTACCAATCACAGCTACAGAAACAAGACAAGGCAGTAGCAGCACCAGTCCAGACCCTTCCCACAGCCCTGAATCTCTGGCCCCTATACTGGCCACATATAACTAGGCTGCAGACTAATGAGCCTGCTATGCTACCATTGTACTCCAACAGAAGAGAATATCTATAGCTCAGGGTTCGGCTGTGGAGTCCTTGGTGCTCTCTGAGCTTGGTTGTTTGTCAATGTTTCATTACCCGACCAGGTAACATCATACATTATACTGACTGTAATGATAAATACTTATTGATGGTATGACTGCCACCTTATTTTTTTCATACCTAAGCAGAATTGTCAGGAACAGGCTAATATCTTATTATTTTTAAGGACCTCCATGCAGCAATATCTACCATCAGCCCTAGGTCTTTTCCCAGATGAGGACTCACAATCTAAACTAAGCTACAGCCACAGCAACTGTTACAGAACAGACAAACTCAGGGAGGGTACAAATGATCCTATCTGAGTCCAGAAGATGTATTTTAGGGCTCATGTACAACCATTGGCCTCGGTCTTCAAAATTTTAGCAGTAGTTTTGCGAAGTTGTTCCAGTGGCTCCTCTGTTGCTGTCCATCCTTCCATGGAGCCACCAAGAACGTGTAAAACAAGCCAGCAACTTGTCTCTGTATTTGTTCTTCCCTATCAGGATTTGCTTTTCACTGCAAGGGGGGGGGGGGGGGAAAAGACACCAGCTGACCTCTGTGAGAGAAGAGTAGCAAAGCTGCCCCTTGGAGCAACTGGAGAGGATTAGGGGGAGGTTGATGGCAAGATAGCACAGTGATTTGGTGACAGTAGAGAGGAGAGGAATCTTAGGAGCTGGGAAGCAGGCCAAAGTGAGAGTTCCTGCCATCAGGACACTATCTGCTTCACAGATCCAGGGGTAACACTCCAACTCTGTCTTCACATTTGTAGCACTTCCTCTGGAGGAGACGTTGAGTCCACAGTTAATCAGCTCAGTCTCTCAAGGCTAACGGTGGTGTAGGCAGATTTGTGGGGTAACACCAATCTCAGGTCAGCAGAGCCCTTGTCTCTAGGCTCTAGAGGTACAATTGCCCTGGGAATGATCAGATAAACTACTAGAGCCAAGATGTCACACAATCAGTTAACAAATCACTCATACATGGTATGTTAGAACCTCAAACATGGATCTTTTCCTGTTTGAAATATTTCTGAACATTTAGGTTGGCATTTCCTTTCATTCTCTAACAAGGGTGAAGATCAGGCAACAGCAGGAACAAAGTCCATCACATAGGGTGATTTTAAATGCCATTAAAAGTGACTCAGTGAGGAATCCTGAGGTTATTAAATCTGAGGATTTCAGACTGCTGACTCTTGGATTGAGATTGAATGTTCCTAAATACTAGTAAAAGAGCCTTCCTTCTGCACGCTCTATTTACTCTTTAGCTCAACAGCACATTTTGTCCACTTAGTCAGAATTACTCATTTTGGAATGCTGTGGAGGGAAAGTGATATTTGATATTTTCTCCAACAGATCTCAGATATTTGTCTAATTTTTAAAATCTATTTCTTAAAAATCCAACACAGTCTTCCCCAACTCAGTACACTCCAAATGTATAGGACTACAGTTCTTATCATTCTTAGCCTGATGGGAAATAGAGTGTAATACAATTAGAGGACTCCAGCTTTGGGAAGACTGAATTAGCTAGTCTGGCTTAGGTAGTATTTTTCATCTATAAAGGCTGTGTATAAATGTACATATCAGCTTATGCACTTTTATTATATGAATAGTTCATAAATGGAGAAAACTGCTAGAGTATATTTATAATATTGCATTATTGTGAACAGTAGAAAGATATGTACACAGATGAACATAAATTAATATTTAAAGCAGAACAGGTTTTTCAAAGACCCACATTTAGTATTTTATTTGTATATTGTTGCTATTGGCAAAAAGGACATTGATGTTCATGTATATTTGCGTTACTAAAGAGACTTTACCAGGTAGAATTGATCTTTACTGTGGTATCCATCTTTACTACTTTTCTTTGTTATAAATCTTATTTAACTGGAGAGTATAAGAAACAGTAATATTGAGAACAAATGTGTAAGGTTGAGTTCAAAATGTTTTCTGATCATTATTGGCAGTAAATTTCCTAAGTTAAAAAAAAAAAGCATGTTATACTGTATACTTGAATGTAACCGCTAGGGCTGATGCTTACCAAAATATTTCCTCCAAAATGTAATGAAGACAATAGATGTTAAGGACAAGAGTAATGTAGACTGTTTCTGACTACTGTATTTGTAAAGTGCAAAGGTTTAGGATCTGCTATAGGTAACAGTTTGTCTCTGGGTACAATTCTAAGGGCTGTTTTTTTTTTACATCTAAAGCCTACATAGTCTAGGAGAGAGCTATCTGAAGAAGGTTGCTCTCATACAAACCTGCCTTCTTGTTCTTTTGCAAATGGGACAGCCCATCTTCAAAGGTGAGGCAGAGACTTGTTTCCCAGGCAAGTTTAAAGGATATCTTTGGCACCAGTCAAAAACTAAAATATCACCCAACTTAAATAGCTCTTATCTCATTCATGTTATATCATGTGATATATATATATATATCACACACACACACATACATACACACACACATATATATATGGATTTTCTTTTTGCCTAAGGCATATCTGCACAATGTATTAAAGTAGGTTTGAAATTTTAGAAATGTGTTTTGATAGCATACTTTATTCCAAGAGATCTATGTACTGTGGCTTTCTGAGAATTTACGTAATTTTTTGCCCATCTTAAACTATAATTCCCAACCCTCATGACCTTTTTATATGTATGGTCAAATCCAATATCTGTCAAAGAAAGTTGTCTTCTATATTTCATGGCAAATACTTTACCTGTAAATGATTCTTACTTGTGTGAAATGTGTGGGTTTTTTCAAATAGCTACTTTGCTGGGTTATTTTTCAGTATTCCTGTGCTTAAATGATTTTAATCATGCATTTGCCTCAAAGTAATATGGCTCAAACATTGTTACATTTATGACTGATTGTTTTTTGATGCAAAATGTCATCATCATTGTCTATAAAATAAATAAATAACAGGCTTGATAATGGCTTTATTTTGTAATACTGTCAAACCCTATATATGAAATTCTAGATGCACCCAATAAGAACCAGAAGAAAATGGGGAAACAGAGTCCATAAGATTTCTTTTTCTTTGAATGTTATAATTATTATAAGAGCGATTATTTAACTTTCTTGGTTGAGTAGCCAGATAAATGTTTCTTTTTTTAAAAAAAAATCAGGGAACGAGATCCTGCAACTCCCCAGATGTTGCTAGACTCAAACACTCAGCAGCCCTAGCAAGCATACAAAGGATCATGAATAACAGTTTAGTCCAATAGTTGGAGAGTTTCAGATTTCAACTCCTGCTGGAAATACGGTTGAGAGTTTCAGATTTCAACTCCTGCTGGAAATACGGAATTCTAACACCCTGAAGTCTTAATTAAATCCAAAAATCACAAATAATTTGATAGTGAATTCCAGTTTTGCAGGCTCCTATGAATAGAGGATACCAAACCATTGTCTGCAAAAATGAAGAAAAAACCCTAACATTTTATGCAACAAAGTATTCGTTTATTTTCATGTTATAAAAACATGGAGCCTACTGGTTTCAAAGTGCTGATATTAGTCCTTTGACCTGAACGAATCAAAAGCAAAAATCAGAAATAAATAAATAAATAACTTAAAGAGAGCTCCAACAGATACTGGACACGCAGGAGGACTAATTTCACATAGGAATGGAAATGACCTGACACACAAGTTGATTCATTGTCACCCGGTTTTGGATACTTGAAAAAAACCTGGTATGAGACAGCTTGATAGAGTCATATGTTCAACCCAGTATTAGTTCTGGCTGGACAATTCTGTATTAATGCAACAATTATGGCCCTGCCAGAAGAGTTTTGTTCAGTAGTGACATTACATTCCACAATTCCGGGGGCCTCTTATACTCATGTAAGAGTCAGCCTTAAGATGTGAGGCTGCAAAGCATTTCCTCCTATTAGAAATTGCATCTTTATTTGGAAAAAATCATTTTACATTCCTCAGCCATAGTGCAAGAGATGTTAAGATAAAATTATTTGCAGTGAACCCCACCCAAAACAGGATATTTTGTAATAATGGCTACAACTCTTTTTTTTTTTTTTTTACAGAAAATATGTTGAATCTGTCCAAGGGTATATAGAAGAACAAAATTAGGAAAAAGAAACTCCAAGGCTGATAGTTCTACAGGAAAAATACATGTAAATACCTAATAAATAGTTTAAACTTCACCCTATTAGGATTTTTTTACCCCAAAGAGGGAGGCAGAAAAGTGACAATAAGAGATTTTGATAGCCTGGAGGATTTTGTACCTATGAACCCTTCCTATTCTTGCTTCA